TTACGATCCTTTTCCCCTAGGAAAAGAAGTAAAGAGTAAAATCTAAGGAAGGTTTTCGTGTATTCATATTTTTGCATAATTAAACATCACAAGTCCCCTGCTAAATGCTTAAAAAGTACTTGCTGTATTCCTTTTCATATCAACTGCAGCTTGGTTGTTGGAATTACATTCTGGAAATCATCCACTTGCACTCCAGCGTAACTCTTTTTTAGTGCCTGGATCTTGGCTAAAACATAAGATAGAAAGATCTTAGAACATCTATGCATCTGTAAACTCTTCAATTTGGGGTTTATGTTAGTTAATTACTTAAATTTGCTTTAAAGTTTGGCCTATCTGACATGGTTCTTAAGGAAATTTTGTTTTAGCTGTCTCTCTGCAGGGACCAAGTTAAGAAGGAAGTGGCACAGAGGGATGAAGCCTTGAGAGAAAAAGCAGCCATTCATCAACTTCTCCAAATGAAATCGGAGGTTAACAATTTTCTGTATTATGATCGAGATATTTTTCCTCCTTGATGGCTTATTTTGCTAATCCATTTCAACAAAGTTGGTTATTTATTGCATAGGAGTTTGGTCAATTGACTTCAGAATGTTTAAGGTTGAAAGAAAGGAATATGGCCTTGGCCAAGGAGCTTGCAGCACTTAAATTGTGAGTGGTTTTGCTAAGGGATCAAGTAATTATTATTTAGCATTAATTCTTGTTCTGATCTGTCATAGCTAGTATGCTGACATGCTTTGATATCTAGAGTATCTGATTTGGAGATAGGGGAAGAGGAGGTTCTGAAGCTAGCATCCTTGGGCAATGGTGGAAAAAAAGAGGATACAATAGACACCCTGATAAAGTCCTTAGTCATCCGTAACAAGTGAGTGACTTTATTTTTTGTAAATCACTTTAGATGGGTGGAACCTATTCTTTTTGGATTATGTATAAATACTCTGTCCTTTACTGATTCTCATGCGTAGAATTCCTTTCCCAAAATTGATTCGAGGCTTCAAGATTTTACCATCTGAAAAACGAACTTGGTAATGTTAATCTTACTGGACATGGATGCAAATGGACCATAACGGTCAAACATTGGGCGTATGTCCCCATCCTCAATTGCCAGTACCTTTTGTTGTAAGTTGCAGGGTTCTTCCCTTGTTTGCTACATTAGGTTGCTTCTGTAGTTGTCATGGCTTCTCTTTAGCTAGTTTTTCAAAATTTTCTGTGATTAACTCCAGTTTATGGTGTGTTTATCTTCATATTTTTTAATTCTCATCTGTCATTAAGTGTTACTTGTTCTACATTTAATAATAGGAGTTACAAAGAATTGATGGCCAAATGCAACCTTCTTGGTAGAGGTGAAGCTCGTGCATCTCAGAAACTTGAGAAGGCTAAAGAAAAGATAGAGAAACTAAAGGTAAGTTAATTATGAATCTGTTTACTATATCTTATTTTGTGTATGATTCCTGAGTTTGCTCTGAATTCCTTTTTGTTATGTGGGCATCTTCAGAAATGTGTCAAAGAACTTGAGGCAGTTGTTGAAGCAAAAGACAATGAAGTTCTAAGAGCACTGAAAGCTTCAAAAAAAAGTAGGCAAAGAGAATATCTGAATTGCACCAATGAGAGTTCTACTTTATTTGCAAACTTTGATTCAGAAGATAAATTGAAACAACTTTTTGTACCTCTGAATGGTTTGGAAAGGACTAGAACCACCACTGATGATAAACCAGATTTCCAGAAAGGAAAAGGCACCATTGCCATTGATGAAATAGATTTAAGTCCCACAAAAGATCCAAATACTACGGTTCTTAATGAGAAGAGAAATTCACTGATTGTTGAGAACACTCCAAAAGGTTGTACAGCCTTTTGTGAAGTTCGAAATGCTGATTTAAAGGACAAATTTAGTGAGAAATTTGCTCAAGAGTCCTCTCATCCAATATTAGATGGAGTTTCTGAGATTAAAGCTGCAGTTCTGGGGCTGGCTAATGTCATTCTTCCTTTCAGTTCACAAACTGGAGCCAATAGTCAGGGCAATGCTCCTGCTAATCCTATGGACAATAATATGGTGTTCAACATCAGGAAAGAGTCTCCATCTTCAGTTCCAGTTTCCAAACCAGGTAACTCTTATGTAATAGTTTGGTATGATCTTGATGTGATGTTTGTCAGCAATGGTTTGTGCAATACTAAGTTAATTTATCCAGCCAACTGGTCCTGGTTGCCTTGAATAATTATTATTTGCAAAAATTGTTATCTAGATTCTAATGATGTCTTTAACTTACAAACATGCAGGGAACATTTGCTTTTCTGGTGGACTGCTAGGTCCTGACGGAACAAATCGGTATTTAGGAAAATGGTGCAAACGTGGCCAGAGCAAGGAATCTGTGGCTGTCCAAGGTTCTATTCCAAGAAGTGGTGATTTAATTGCTATTGGAGCTGATGGGAGAGGTGGTAGAATTAAAATCTTAAGACCTTCAAGTCAGGTTTCATTGGTTAGTAAATGTGCTTCGATAACTAATATCCTATGTAATCATTGGTTAGTAAATGTGCTTCTGTAACGAATATCCTATGTTGCCTAGAAGTAATTATCCAAAGTTAGTTTGCTTTTTGGTTTTTATATGTTTAAGAATTTATGCAACCTAGTACTTGCTTTGTTAGCTTGAGTTCGTAATTATTGCCTTCCACTCCTCACATTATGAAGCAACAAGTTCTTTGGACATTGTTTTAATTGGCAACATTATTATGTTGATAACTATTTGCATTTGCCTGAGAGTAGGATGTGGTGCTTTTTCTTTTGGTTAGTATTATTTCTTGATGGACCTAATCTTGATAATTACCGTGCATATTGCGGGCCATGTTACAAAGAGTCTTTCCTGTCCTTGGTGCAGGATGGAAAGGAGAATGTTTGTGCAAAGAGATTTAAATGTGGTTCCAGAACTAGCGGTTTGCAGTCTCAAGGATGCCTACAAATTGAACATTTTTTTGGGAAGGTTAATCAATAGCTAAATATTAAAAGTTCTGAGCATTGTAACTGACAAGTGTGGCCTTTTGCATCCCAGAAAAAGCAGTTGGTCTTTTCATAACAAGAGGAGAATGAATTAATCTTTATTTTGGCAAGCCACTTTATCCCTCTGTGGCAGTTTTTGTGGTCCACTATTTGTAGTGTTCCAAATGGAGAGGTTGCTGAAGTCCAGGATCTAATCAAGTCTTTGAGGCCTACCCTCTGTAACAAGTAGCAATATTGGAAGGGTGTACGGTAACACAAGAACTGGACGGGGTACTATTATTATGATTTCAATCCTTTTCAAATTAGCTTGAAACAGAAGTTATAGGGAGCATCATAGTTCTTAATTGCGCTACATGTATGGTATATGCTGTGTGTGTGTATATATATATATATGCATATATATTCTAATATAAATTGAAGGGTGTGCTTCCTGTTGCTGAGGAATGGAGGAAAGGAACTGGAAAAACATATAAACTGATGCATTGTTTCAGAGAACTAGACGTCAGTAAATTTATATATGTTTTTTCTCCTTTCCTTTAAATGCTAATATCCCATGAAATTTTTATTTTCTTTTTGGGTGCTTATTGCTACCATCATCCTGAAGACTCCAACATTCATTTATGCTTATAAATTCTTGATTCATGTTCGTGCAAAATGATGCAGAATAATGTCACTTCGCGTGGTGGTTTTCAAATGCCTTACAAGTCTACGACAGAGGTCACTGTGTGGACATACAGGAAGTTTCCTATGTCTTTAGATTCAAGGAAACATAAATGTAATGGCCAAGTAATTAATTATGTTTGGACAAGTAGATGAAAAGTATGATTTTATTTGTTAGTCTATTTTCTGGCCAGGAAATCTTGAAAGTTCTGGATACTAGATTTAAATTTTATTTTGGTCTTTTCCCGCAGTCTGAATCTTGGATTAATTGATACCCCAAACATAGGTCAGAAGAGAAACCAATATTTGGTCTGAAGGAGTGACAAAACTTTGAAAATGTAAAGATAACCGGGTACTGGAGAATGAACAAGTTGGTAATAATTGTTACTTCTAATAGGATTTGGAGAATCCCAGCAACTCAACTGGGTAAAAGAAAAGGCTTAGGTTGGATGTTAAGCTTAATGTGCATAATTGTTCTAATGTTGTTGCCCGGATTAGTTGGGTAAAAGAAAAGGCTTGGATTGGATGTTGAGCTTAATGTACATAATTCTTTTAATGTTGTTTCCCAGGTTTTCTCCCCCCAATTATTGTACTAGCAAACGCTAATTTCTGAATGGTTTATGGCCATGACCAGCCTTTTCCAGTCTTGGCTGTGGATTCACGTGAAACTTAATTTTGAATTTTTAGTTCAAAATTTGTCTACTTGAAACAGGGAAACTTTGGCAAATGTGGTCTGGGCTGTCGTGGATAAACTACAGCGTCAAATAAAGAGTAGCTGAGCCCATGTAGGTTTTTCTCGTGACGTTCACTGTTTTAATTCTTTGACAAGAAGCTCATTCAATAATTGATTATATGTTTTCGAAAAACGTGTTAATCTATTGACTTAGTTCTCATTCGTCTTCTAATAATAGCCATGGGGATATTGATTGAAAAAAATCTGTAGTTAAAAACCAA